TGCCCCCCCCCCCCCCCTTACACACACACAGACACACCATTGAGTTGCCTGGATATTAATTGGGAAAGAACCTTGTGAAAAATGAATGCAAAATTTTCCCAAAGTTACAAAAGTAGATGATGATTTACTTCATGGGCTTCATGTTTACAACTTTACAACTGACCGTGACTGTAATTTAGCAAAAATAGATCACTTATTATTTAGCTTGTGGAACTTTTTGATTTGGTTTGTTCTTTTGGAAATGGGGTATAGGCCATTCGGGAGTCAATAGTATAATGACACTGGCTTATATAGCTTATAACCTAAAATTTGACATATGCTTAGATGTGATGGAGGTCTCGACGAGATGCAAAGCAAGTGGGAATTGGAAACAAAATAGAGCTGAGGTTGGGGAGGCTTGATGCTACTGGAGAACAAACATCAATTAACACAGATCAACAGCTGGAGTTGGAAATGCCAACCATTCGAAGTTATGTTGATAAATTACAAGGGGAGTTTATTATAATTATTTTACAATTATTATTAGTTGTTGATGACCATTTCAAATTTTATTCAATTTTAGTAATGGTATATCCTTTACCTAAAAAATCAACCATAGTGATTGAAGTCGGATCTACTTACACAGTCAAGCCCACTAACAAATCTACCCCTGAGAAAATATTATCGGATGTTGAGAAAAGCAAGTTAGATGAAGGTATATCAATTGTCTTTTTCATATATATATGGTACTGTGGCTACTGTATGTGTTGTTTTGAATACCAACAAGGTATGGAATGAGAAATCTCACCACACTATACACACTTTACCTTATAGAACTGAAGAAGTTGAATGGAAGTAAATTGAGGAAGGAAGGGACACAAACTACAAAGTTGAAGAGTGTGGGAGTAGTGAAGTGGCTGTGGAGAATTGAATGTGGTTACTGCAAAAAATCGATAATGTTGCGCTATGATTCTGATTCAAAGGGACGCATCAACGCATTTCAAAGACTAAGTATAATACAATTATACCTTTCTTCAGTGGCTGCAAATATAATAGAATATTGTAAATTGAACTGCTGAAACCAAGGAATGATAAAAAGCCAATGATTTAAATTTAATGAGAAATTTAAGTACTGGAAACAAGACCTATCACAGTAATCAAAATTTCAATATCTGTTTCAGAACATTTAATGCATGTGCAGTCAAAGCAAGCAAACCACGACCAAAAAGAAACCGAACAGTTAAAGAAATGTTGATTGGAGCTAGTAAGACTGAAGTTCCGGAAAAAAAGGACAATCATATCTGACGTCCCAGAACTCCTTGACTCGAACTTGGACCTATCAGACCAGGAGCATGGTTCAAAGTAGATACTATACACACCCATCCATATATTTACATTTATATAATACCTTATTGAATTCTGATAGTTTAATTGGCTGTTTATGGTGATGTGATATTGAATAGAACATTCCATTTCCCAAGAGTGCAATGGAACACGTTCCATTGCACTCTTTGCGAGTGCAATGGAATAAAACATATTAGTACAATTACACTCTTTGTGTTTTCAATAAATCGCATCCCTCAAAATGCTTCTCATACGAAAATATTAGTTTATTTTGGTATTATATAAAACAAATAATTAATGTTTTTTCGTGCATTGGTAAGAATACTTTCATTCGGTGAAAGATGGAATGTTCCATTCAACTCGGCTATCGCCTCATTGAATGGAACATTCCATCTTTCACCTCATGAAAATATTCTTACCATTGCACTCATAAACATTCATTATTTGTATAATATATGTATGGTATTTACTTTGAATAGCACATATACTTTTAACTATATATATTCCATGTGAGAGATTTTTGCCTTGTAGTTACGATACATTATTTGTTTAAATAATTAAATCATTCCTTTTTTATTGATTTTCACACAGGACCACCTATTATTATATTGCTTATATAGTTATTGTATAGTTGTTGTACAGTGTATATTTTTATGTAGCATGAAAACAGATGATATATAATATGACTTCCCCACTTCCATTCACATGGTTTCCTTACCTAGCTAGGTATACTGTAATTATATGGGCTGCAAGAACCAAATGACGTTTATTGATATTCAAAAATGTATAAGCTCTTTTAATAGAAAAACAAACCCAAACAAGTACTCTCTCAATACTGATAGACATATTAAACGGCTACAATTGTAGATGTTTTTGTGGCGGAAAGAGGTTATCAGTTATTTATCCTTTTTCAGATATCAAGATTCGAGTTCTGATTGCATGTGATTGGATTCAGATGATGGCCTCTCCTCTAGTGATGATTTCAGTATATCTAGTCATATAACTGATAAGGACATCCCAATTGATTCAGATGATCAGAGTGAATGTCAATCTTCGGGTTCAGCTGAATCAAATTTGGATGATATAAATGGTGATGTTAATCTTGATGAAGACAATCGATGGTATGCTTACAGTGTAGATAAAGCAGATCCTGTTTGTCGTAAGTTTGACGACTTAATTTGTCGAGGCTTGGTACCCAAGAATGGAATCTTGTACAAGTATCTCTCAGATGTCATTGAAATATTTTACGATCGATGTCACTCGTATGATCGAGAGGTTGTTGAATTTTTCAACACAATCCGTCACTTAGGTGGTTGGAGAACTGTAAATTTTATTCTTGTCCAATATTCAAGGGCCTTTGAATATTGGACAAGGAAAAAGGGGGTCGATGTAGCCAAAAATGTTGTGCAAAATGAACTTGGGAGGTCCTTCTGAATCTGTTTGTAACAAGCAGCAAGCAGGTTGTACCATCCGGTCTGGGGTTATTAAGTCCTTCTGCCTTTCTCAATTAAAACTAGCTACAAACAACAGTCAAACTGTTCCTATTATTGCCTCCGATATCGTCCATGTAATCCCATGCAACAATGGAAATGCTATCAAGCCCAGCATTGAGTTCGATTCAAGGCTCAAAAGATGTGTTGGTTTGGATATTGATGTAGACACTGATTTCGTTAAAAGAAACGACAAAGTTACACTGGAATTTTTGAGTGAACACATCGTTACTGAGGTCGTTATTTCTTCAGTTACGACAATTGATAATGAGGTAAGCCTACCTTGCATGGCGGAGTACGTACCCAAAAGTGGCAAAATCGGAGAAGCAATCAGTAAGTCGTTGCTTTTGACAATAAAAACCTTGCAAATCTGTGAATTGTGTGTTAAGAAAATTGCCCCTATTGAACATATTCTCAAATACACCAACATTTGTGAAAGCCGCTGTGATGCCTGCCTTTTGAACAACTCACTATGTGAGGAATGTAAAAGACAAGGGCACACTAGTCACTTGCCATGTTTAAGAGCGTGTGTCAACTGTCTTGAAAGGTGTCAGCTGTGTGTACGCCGGGTATTTCTTGTTTTAACTGCCGATTGTGAAGAAGGAAACAAGGCGGCATTCAGAATCATTAAGAAATCGATCGAAGATGGCTCCATTGACCCAGACCTCTGTTTACTGTCTCCAATTCCTGATGTGCCTCGCATGGGCAAAAGCTTGAAAGCTGGATTTTCCAACTGGTATCTGAAACTGGCTGAAGAAAGATCCAACCTAGCAGTTATTCGCAACCTGAGAAACAGATCTACGGACACCGTCAAGCAATGTATTAGAAAACTAATCCCAAAAAGTGATCATGTCAGGAATAGGGATCGTCAAGACCCGTGCGCTGTCCTAACCTTGACAAATGACTCCTTGCTTGCTTACTTGTCCAGTTTAGGTTTAGATTGCACCACGATCATTCCTGAAACATGCAAATTTACGCCAGACAATAGGCCTGGCATGTATCCTAAACCAATTAGTGTTGCGTTGGGTTCTTATGGTTGGTTGTATTTTCTTTGTAATTTCAATGAAAAGAATGGAAAATAGATTTGGTAAAGGCTCGATTACATTCTCTGTTAGACACATTTTGCGTTGTAAAGAAACAAATCCAGGCAAAAGAGGTGCACTTTTTGGATGGAATTGTTTACTTGTGCGGAGATCATTCCCATATCACGATCTTGGATGAAGGACGTCTCATGAATTTAGATGTTAAAAAGTTAACAAGTAAAGCACAGGTGAAAGCTAAATGCAAGGATCTTGATGTTCCTTTAGATTTACAGTCTTCTGTTGCTCAAATGAAAGAAAGACTAACCTTACACAAGAAGAATGTCGAAAAGCCGTATGGGGACAATGGCTTTGAAACCAGCACGATTAACTTCTGGAACGACAATCTTGTCGAACAAACCCAAAATTTTTACCCATTTGCATAATTGATAGCCAGTTGTTGCATGCTGCTTGTTCTACTGAGAATGCCATTGTTACTGTCACAACTTCTCTGGATGGAGTTGGTGTGCAAGGTTCTATACAGCGTGTCTTTTCCTATGATGTCCACTGGAAAACAATATTTAGTCTTTGTATTGTTTTGGCAAAATGGTTTGCCGTCTCGTCTCTTGGAATCGAAATGATTGAGTTAGCGACTGCTTCTGAATCTGTTCGTGTCGTTGATAACATTCGAGATGGTTGCCATCCCTATCAGAGGAAGAGGTTCCGATATCATCTTTAGCAATCCAACGAATCACAGAATTTATAAGTACACAAAACGAACTTGTTAAGCTGTATGACTCTTGACATTGAACACTTTCATTCAACAACACATTTTAAAAGTGAAGTCATGTCCATGTTGCAGTATTTGGAAAATTTGCTCATTATTTGGAAACTGCATGAAGGAAAGTCTGAAGAAGTTTTCATCATGGAGTGCACATTACTTTACCCACCCACAAAGTTGGTATCCACTACCAGAAGCTGCAATCCAGTTGAGTGATATGCCACAATTGAAGCCCCTTACTACTGTTGAGCTTTGCTCGCAAGAGTGTCAACGACTTACAGATTTCACCAGCGTTTATGGAAGAGCAGTCAGGCAAACAACGGTACGCCAGGAAACAACCATGGCAAAAGTGGGAACACTGCCACCCTCTTGCTATCAAACGAACTTGCCAGTTCAAAAAGTTGTATTGCATCAATAAGATGCCCCGTACAGCGATGCAGAAAGCGAAACAACCTTGGCACAACCTGTTGAATTTGTCAATGGTAACAATGATAATTCCACTGATCATGAAGATGAGTTTGATTCCGACGTGAGCGATGATGAACTTGATGATGAAATGAGACCTGCAACCAGCTATAATGGGCATAATGATGTGCCTCAGTTAGTGCCTGAAGCTCATTTCTTGATTGGAACGAGATCAAGGTTTGGAAGAACGGTACGCTAAAATGGGAGGTATCTTCAATGATCTTTGTATGGTCTTAAAGTGATACAAAGGTAGGCGAAAATTAATATACTGTACGTACCTTTCTGTCATGAATTAAAGACTGCATATTTCTTACGATTTACAGCTTTGATTTTGAGTTTCTTTTATATAAGCGCTTATAGGGTTTTTGAAGAGTAAGGCAATATTGGCCAATATTACTTTGATAATGAAAATGGCGGTTACGGATTTTCGAAGAAAAAAATGGCGGTTGACGGTGAAGAAGGATAAAAATATGGCGGTTTCCGGAAAGACCGAACCCCTATAATAGCCCCCCTTTGCATTGGATTTTAATCTAATCAAACCATATCCTCACAGGTCAGCATTAGGAGATGAGAAAAGTGTTCAACTACAGACTGTCACGAGCACGGAGAATCATAGAAAATGCATTTGGAATTCTTTGTGCCAAGTTTAGGGTCTTACTGCAAACATTAGAGCAGGATATTCAAAATGTAATAGAGGTTGTTCGTGCCTGCATAGCCCTTCATAATTTTCTGATGATAAAGAAAGACAGAAACTATGCTCCAGCTGGTTATCCCTGAGCCAATGGCGCAGAGCGCCGTTCCGTGTGTTAGCCCAGCACGAGGGTACTAATTCCCCCCGGCTATTTACACCCGGGGAAAGAAGCGCACTGGCGAAGTCTAAAGTTCATCAAATACCGTGGGCGCATGGCTATGATCCAAGGGTGGACCTCCTTACTGATCTCAAAAATATGGCTGTTTGCCAGGAGTGGGATAAGCACACTGAGTATATTAAAGCAAGATTTCAATTTTCAAAAGCATATATTTGGAAAATCACGTTTCACACAATGAGCCTTGAAGCAATTTTTGTTTGAAAAATGAGAAGAATTTATTTACTATGGAAAATCGTGAAATATAGGCCAAGTTCGCTTTGAATGTTTAATGTTTATGATTATGAATTTTGTTGCTTTAATAATTTATTGTGTAAAACATGCACTGCTGTTTTCCTTTTCAAAGAAGCTGTAAGTTTCCTAAATTACCCTGTTTTAATAATTTAAGAAAAAAAGGTAAATGTAAAGAAGAGCAAATTAATTTGAAGACCTAAATGAAATTATTCAACAATTTGAAGTAAAAACAGTTTATCGGCAAAAGCAGTTTAGTTATTAAAATGAACATTTCAAAACATTTTATAAAAGCTCACAAAATCCAGAACAACATACCTACAGTACATATTTCGGAAAGTCATTGTTATGTAGTTAAAGTATAATAAAAATTATAATAAAATACAAAAGTATAATAAAAATTAAAATTACCTTATTGTATTGCCAAGGCAACACTGATGTAAACGCGAGCTTGCGTTCATCAGTGTTGAACAATTGCTAATACTTCATGTTAAATCAATGTTTGGAAAATATGGACGAGGGGTTGCTGCATGCATGTATTTCTAGTTCAGATAGTGAAGATGAACATGGCCATCTAGTGTTAGGTGCATGGAGAATGGAAGTTGATAGTGCTGCCCACAACTTGAGTTGCCATCCAAGCAACAGATCATCTACTGTATAGGCAAGAGATATCTGTGATGATGGGAAGGATTACTTCTTTGAAGAAGGAGCTGTTACATTCCAGTGGAAAATGACTGAATAAACATAAATGACTTGACTTGTTAACATCTTTTTGGTTAACCATTAATTCACATGATGCCAATGCACCTACACACATAAAAATTATGAGCCCGCTGTTTAACAGGATTGAACAATGTTGTGCAGCCCACGTTGTTCACACTTGTCAACAATATTGAACAATATTGTTGAGCCTGAATCGATTGTAATAATAGTTGACAACTGTGACAATGTGGGCCACACAACATTTTCCAATCCTGTTTTTTATCAATATTGGAACAATCCGATCGTTCTTAGCTGTGTAGCTATCTCACTGATCTGAAAAATAGAACTAGATAGTGAATATACACTATGAAAACTAGTGGCATATTAATGTTAGGCCTGTTTCAAACGTCGCATTTCGCATGTGTCGAATTCAATTGCTTGAATTATGTGCATGCAAAATTCGACGTCTGAAACGATTAAATGCGACGTTTTTAATTGCGGTTGACCTTAACTTTAAATTCGACCCGACCGGTCGCATAATGCGAACTAAGTGCGAGCTAAATGCGACCTGTTTCAGACGTCGCATTTTGCATGTGTCGAATTCAATTCTGCTAGGGTGGGGCTCGCGGAAAAAGTCTGGAACGAGGTAAAAGAAGGACGGCATGTAGTGTTAATGGATCAAATTTCGCGTGTAGGACATAGAATGGTAATAATTTCATGTTTTTTTTGTGTGTTTGTGTGAAAAATAGTCAATAGCCTCATGTCAGTTTATATACAAGCGAAAATAAAGTCGCGAACAAGAACATTTATACGGGACTACATAGACATAGTATTTTTTCGTGCTTTAAATAAGACGAGCGACGGCTTATTTCGCTGGTATAGTCGTATAAATGGCCCTACTGACATACTGTGTTTATTTTTGAGCGAAACTTTGCTCTTGTTGTTAAACCACAGCTAGGTTAAAAATAAATGTCAATCTATTATTAAATTAAAACTATCAAGGGGGCGTGTCTACACTCTAGAACACTTACAATTTCGAATTAAATGCATGCAAAATGCGACGTTTGAATCAAACGTCGAATTCATTGATTTCGCTCGAATGAAATGCGAATTGTATTCGACACATGCAAAATTCGACGTTTGAACCAGGCCTTATAAATGTTATGCTGTTGTGATATTGGATGATGACATCTCAGCAAGTTTTATTATTGATGGGAAAGGAGATGATTTTTTTTGTCTAGTCAGTGAAGATAGACATTAGCTAGCAGTGACATCTATTTCTTAATTAAAGTGAATTGACTAATAATGTCACATCACTCTGTCTCATTATCTATCAATGGCCTTTAACCCTTTAAATAGCAATGCACCCAGATGCATCCTACTTTGCCATTTTACTCTGTCTATGCCAGACTATTTTACTCTGTCTAATGGCAGATTATTTTACTTGTCAGGGGGATAATGCTGTCACTCAATGTGTTAAATGAAAAAAATATGCTCTACCCAGTCCTAATTTCAGATCAGTGCCCCATCTCAGTGGTTAATAGTCTGTCTATTAAATGCCAAAGGATTTTGATTCTCAAGTGAAAAAATAATTGGGTTAGAATTTAAAGTTTGTTCGTTCACTGCAACCAGGTATATCAATCATGTTTCGCTTGCTACTCTGCTTTAAATAAATTATTACAAAGCCCAGTCGAATTGTGTCGAAACGTTGGGTCTTGATTACAATTCGACTGGGCTTTGTAATAATTTATTTAAACCAGAGTAGCGAGCGAAACATGATGGGTTAAAATTGTCGAGCTCAGTGATCCAAACTGAGTTTCAGTGTTTACATTGCCATTACAGGGTATAAAATTTGAGATTTACGAAAACAGAAAATTGTAAGCATGCTGCAAAACAGTGGTATTTAAAACAATAATGTATAAAGGAATTTAGGTAGTAACTTCAAAAGGTCTGTGTTCATGGTGCTCCTACTACCTTCCAATTTGCTATGTGATTTTTACACCAGTACAAAACACATTACAGCTCCATAGCCCTTATTTTTGTTACATATAATGTACATTATCAAAGATAAGATGTTTTGTACATTTCATTAAACATCTTTATACAACATATTACTCAGTTACTCCTACTTGTTAACATTTCCGAATCTTTATGCTGTAGAAATATAGAAAAGTTAAGAATAAACTAAACATAACTATAAATATAAACTTGGTTATGTAAAGCAGTCATTTACTCAATTACTCGTACTTGAAAACAAAGGTTCTATCACTTGTGCAGTACTAACTATGGGCACCTGGGAGACAGAAACGGGGTGCCTTGCTTTTTCTGTAACTTGAAAAATAGCTGTTTGTACTGCAAACTTTGCACGCATTTGCCAGTCTGGATTGTTAAGTGCTCTGAGAGAATTAGCTACATCTTTTCCAAAAATAGCTCATCATCCTCTTGATTTGACAAATGGGTAAGTGCATTTGCCGCAGTCTCCATCCAATGATTGTCCTCTGAGCTTTTCTTTCTCCTTTTTGGGTGAGCAGCTGTTGCCTCGGATAACGTTTCACTGCTTGTGCTCGCAGTCTCAGTTGCATGCAATTCTTTGTCTAAAATATCCATTTCCAAGTCATGATGAGCTCCGTTTTCTGGGCGAAATAAACAGACAAAACTGCAATAAATAGACAAAACTGCAATTGGGAAATAAATGGCTATGCGCGTAGAACACATGCCGAATTATTATTTCATAACAAATGTTACAATTTTACTTTTTGAATATGTAAATAAGAGTTTGTTAACTGTTCGCACAGAAAAGGTGGGTTAAAACAAACGCCACTAGCATACCTCGGTAGGCAATGCTCACCCCACCCCACCCCAGTATGACGAGAGAATGCTGAAAAAACACCCGATATACAAACTAAATACACTATGTGCAAAAACTCGTAATCCCCAAGCCGATGGCGCGAAGCGCCGTGCGAGGGTACTAATTCCCCCCGGCTATTTACACCCGGGGAAACGAAAGCATTAGCAAAGTCTAAAGTTCATCAAATATCGCGGGCGTCGGTCACCAACGATGGGTGGTCATCCTCACTGATCTCTAAAATATGGCCGATTGCATGTAGGAGTGGGATGAGCAAGATTTCAATTTTAAAGACATATATTTGGAAAATCGTTTCATATACAACAAGCTTAATTGAAGCAAGTTTGTTTGAAGAGATGAGAAGAATAGATTTACTATGGGAAATCGTGAAATATACGGCAAGTTTCCTTTGAATATTTAATGTTTACGAATTTTGTTTCTTTAATTAACTTTTTGCCTAAAAACATGAACTGTTTTCCTTTTCAACGAAGCTCTAACTTTCATAAATTACCGTTTAATTTGAGGAAAAATCTTAAAATGTAAAGGAGAACAAAT